CCTACTGAGTGGGTGTAACATTCAGGTGCTTTATTTGCCCTTTTTTAAACAGAGAGCTGCCTTGCTTTTATTTCAATCATTTATTACTGGATTTTTTACTTGCATTGTACTCGACCACTTAGAAGATTCAGCTGAAAAGGTGGCAATAGGAGAAGTCAGTTAGCTTCACTATATAGCTAAATATGGTGCTTCAAAAGCACAGTAAGAGAAGAAGAAAAGCTGCAGAATTTTGTGGAAATTAACAAAAATTTTGTAAGAAAGGGCAAGAACAGCAACAATAAAACACACAGGAAAACAGATGAAGTAAGATTCTTTAAAAATATACTGTAGTTTGAAATAATTTCCCATAGTTATTAACTTGAAGTCGATTTAACATTAAACAAATCACTTGACATTTTCAAAGTTATGGCAATTTAAACATGATAAAACTTGGATAGCTAAGATATTAAGATAGCTGGTGGCTTGAGACACCCAACATTTGTCTAATGTTGTCCCATAGATGTAATATCTTGACGAAGACTTTCACATCATTATTTTATTTATCATTAATTGCCAGTCTAGTTCTTTCTTATGTTTATGATAACTATGAACAAAATCTTGGCTTACCTATAGACCCTGTAGTTAGACTGTATTGTTCTGGAGGCATTACATATACAAATTAAAGCAGAGTCAAATACATTTATCTGGGGAAAAATAAAGCACATTATTTTTATTACTACTAAAACATTCAGGTAATGTTTTAGCTGACTTCTGGCAATCTAACAGGAAGAGGTACTAGTAGCCTTGTTAGTAGCCAGTTAGAGCCCAGCTTTGCATGAGATCATGAACATGGTGACTGATATGTGGAAAGCCAATCAATGCTTTGCTACATTTAATTGCTTACTACTTGGAAAGACAAGCTTCTTCATGTTAAAACTAAGTATAGTGGAAGAGAAAGAAAGAAAGAAAGAAAGAAAGAAAGAAAGAAAAGAAAGAAAGAAAGGAAAGAAAGAAAGAAAGAAAGAAAGAAAGAAAGAAAGAAAGAAAGAAAGAAAGAAAGAAAGAAAGAAAGAAAGAAAGAAAGAAAGAAAGAAAGAA